AAGCAATGGAGAAGCGCGTTGGTCCCATGCGCCAGACACGGTAAATAATGCGCGGTCGTCAATTGTTGAAGTGCCTATATCGTTGCACCTTGCTCCATTGATTATCTGAGTTAAAGAATAGATTTCCCATTCATCTGTTAAGAGAAAAATGGCGTCGATCTTCCGAGTTGTCTCCACATCTTCAAAAACTAGTTGTGCTCATTGGTGGTGCTGTAACATGTCACTATCGTCGCTAGTTAGCAGTAGTTTCATAGATCGTGCACACCGTCGTCTACTGTATGTCAAAATCGGTCAAGCCCGTTATGTTGATACACAAAACAGTTACTAAAAAACCATGTGAAAGAAATCACAATGGAACATAATTTGGGTCAGCTCTGCATAATTCAAAATGAATATATTTCCGAATTTCTCTCTTCCTTGGAGTTGGACATGACTACATGCAAGACCAGTTGTCAAGGTGCCAAGTTCTGACCTTTAATGACTTCGAACAGTGTAGACGTTCCAATCCAAAGTGTTGTTGTACCGCTTTGTTCAGCATGCAAAACATTTGAAAGTGAACATCATGTGTATGCCTTATCATTCATATGGTATCCACATGTTACATGAAACAAAGTCGAAAAAATTATGAATTGCCAAACCTTACTCTTTATTCAATGAGGAAGCGGCTTTGGTGATTTGAATTCTTAATTTTTCAAAAGTAATTTCAAATCGACAGTTGCGGAGCGATGTGGTAACATCTAAAGTTCCCAAGCTTGCCTATAAGGTTATTCCTCTAAAATGCTATCTCTGCAAATGAAGAAGTAACTTTCTGTTCAGCCCTTATCAAAGCAATACATTCTTTCTTTCTGGTTAAGAAAAAAATACGGTGACATGGATAAAATATTGCAAAGAACATGTTAGCCAATGTTCAGGATCGGTGCCTCGTTAATGTTCGAACGGAATGAAGTAGTACGTGGTCAATGAGTGAATCAATAGGAAAGCATGAAATTAAATTTATGATAAATTTAGTCGCTAATGATCTCTGATCATTAATATTTTTGTATTTCGGAACCTTTATTGAATCATGGCGATTGAATGATGAAGACAGCACCTTCAGCAGCTGAAATAGAGTTGCCTGTTTATACATGTTTGAGAAAGGTACCAATCAAATACTTTAATTATTAATTTATTTAGCATTATTTTTATTTATTTTATTATAGAAATAAAAATAATAGTATTAATATTACTTAACAATGAAATATTTATTGTTATGAGAGTGAAACAGCATTATCAGCAATGAACAATCTCTGCAGTAAAACTCTAATATCACCATGAGGTAGGCGCTGTGTGGATGAGTTGTAAGGCACATCAAATGACATTGCTGACTGTACAGTCGCACTCTTTCCATTCATTCTTCCTTTATAGTAACCTTACATTCTTAATGCGGGTTTAGCAGTTTAGACGTTCTACAATAGAAAACTAAATAACCTTGCATAGAGGAATCTTCTTTCAAATCTTATGTGAGAATTTGTCGCTTGTAAAGAGTCCCTTGCCTGTGCATGCTTCTGCTATGACGTGGCTTGGTAATGCTTGGTAACTCTTTTCCGGAGTGCTTAGTCCCCAATTTGTAGGTCACACATTGAAAGAGGAACATCAATGATGCAGACTGCGAATATGTAAAAGTAATAGAATGGACTTTAGATATGTTGAAAGAAGCTAAATTACAAAATTCCTGTTTTGGCGGTTAGGAAGGGAACTTTGAAAAGTCAGAATTTCATGAAATGAAACTCAATTGGGAAAAAAAACTGTGTGCAGACATGAAATATTTGTT